CAAGGAACATTTTTCAATCATGGAAAGAAATCAGGTGAATTTTTATTGCCAAACAAAAATCAAATGGATGAAAAAAAATACTTGCATGCAAATCATAATGAAAAACAAGAATTCATATTTACGTACCAAAGATTGCCCCAAACAAATGAAATAATGTATATACAAAAATGTATATGTAAATACATGTATGCAATACATAAATGAAAATAAAAATTCATATGCAAAACTATGTACAAAATTGAAAAGGCAAAGATTTTTCCAAACAAATAAAATAATGCATATACAAAGATGTTTACATGGATCTATATGCAAATACATGTATACAATGCATAAATGAAAACAAAAATTCATATCCAAAACTATATATAAAATTGAAATGGTAAAGATTTTCCCAACAAATGAAATAACGTACATGAATGCATATATGCAATACATAGTAAAAATTTATATCACAACTATATACAAAACAAAAAAAGGCAAAAATTAGCCCAAACAAATGGAATAATGTACATACGTGTTTACGTGGATGCATGTATGCATATATAGTAAAAAAAAAATTCATATTCACAACTATGTAAAAAACTAAAAAAAAATTACTCTTTAATTAAGCATTCACATCTTTTAATATATGAAAAAGTTAAATGAAATAATGCATGAGTGAATGCAAGAATGCGTGAATGCAATAAGAAGAATTTAATGATGTAAATGCTTGCATATACAACAAAAGAAAATGGTTAGTAAATATGATATATACAAGAATCAATATAAAGGGTTAGTATGCAAATAATATATAAAAAAATAAATTTACAAGCAGAATAAATATCTCATCATGTGTCCTATTTAAGATTTTCTAGCATAAAGGGAAATGATGGCTCTAACTTAGGTTTGGAACCTTAAAGTTTATTTACATATTAGGTTCAAAGATTTGACAATCTAATGGTTCTCAAATTATTCCTTATATCATTATTCATTATAAACTAATAAAGCACCACAATCCTCACCAATTATAGGTTATAAGCGAAAATAGTTCAATTTAAGGGAAATGATGGCTCTAACTTAGGTTTGAACCCTTAAAGTTTATTTACATATTAGGTTTAAAGATTTAGCAATCTAATGGTTCTCAAATAATTCCTTATATCATTATCCATTATAAACTAATAAGGCACCTCAATCCTCACCCATTATAGGTTACAAGCGAAAATGATTTAATTTGAGTAGGAGTTTTTCGTTAGCCCATGAGGAGATATGAAATCTCATGAAGGCATAGGTATTTTACCCTCTCATAAGGGACAAAACTTAGGTGTAGAGCTCATGTATATATGTATGTGTATGTGAATTATATATATATATAATGAATAAATAAATAAATAAGGAAAAAAATCTTAAATTTATTAGGTTAGGCTTGGATAATAAAAAATTATTTACTAGCCTGACTCTTGATCTCTCTAACGAAGTCACCAAATTATCATAATATATAGATCTGTGGACTTATCGCTAAATATAGATTTAGGAAGTTGTCACCAATATTTTTTGTTAGGATGTGATTGGTTACCTGACAAAATTTATCCCATTTAAAATGAAATCCTAAGATTGACTTAAGTATTTTTAAATAATAGATTCTAATCCATAAAACTAGATTTTAGGTTTGATGATGCAGTTAAACATGAAGAAGGTTATTAACAACCTCACAGTGCCTATCCAAATTATTGTATCAATTTGATTTCAAATTATCCAAACTTTAAAATATTCTTATAATTTGAACAAGTAATTTAATTATTAGAAATTGATCTAAAAATTACTCTAATAGTTTAGTAGCAATTTAAATAATTTTTCACATTAAGAGTATTCATGAAAACTAATGTCCCACTCTAAAAAAGTTCCGTCATCAAATTGATTAATATTTTTATTTAAAAAATAATTAGTGAAACCCTCCAATAGTTTGAAAAAAATTTACTTTGATGCAGATCTTTCAATTGTTTGATAAAATTTAATTCAAGATTTTGATCTTCCAATAATTTGTTAAGATTAAAGCTGTATTATTTTATTTTATTTAAAAAAATCATTAACTCTTCTAATAGTTTGGTATGAGTTAATTTAATATTTAAATCCTCCAATAGTTTGATAGGATTGTAAATTTTTATTTTTTTAAACCCCTTTTTAAATTAAAAAAATCAAATAAAAATATTATCATGCAACATAATATTATGCAAATAATAATATAATATCATACAATAACAATATCAAATCATGCAATTAATATAAACTATCATGCAATCAAGATAAAATATCATGCAAATTTATTAATAATCATGCAAAAATGAATCATAGAAACAAAATCATGCAAATAAATATATTAATAATCATACAATTAAATAAAATATATAATTATATCAGGCAAAATGTATCATGCAAAAATTAAATACCAAAAATAGGAGAATAAAAACAAAGTAAAAAATAAAGAAACAAAAAATAAAATAAAATAAAATAACCTGTGATCAAATAAGGCTTAAAGCGCGAATCTTCACATCGATCGCCGAAGTCAAGCGAAAACTTCAAAATTAAATCGGAAAGTTCATTATAAACCTAAAAAAAGTCAAAAATGTTTTCAAATTTTTAAAAACCCAATAGAAATCTTAAAATAAAAAACCAACAAAATACCCCAGCAAAAATCTCATAAACTTAACAAAATATGAAATCAAACTCAAAAATTAAAACTCAAATTCGAAAAACTCAAAAGCAAATCAAATCAAACGTAGAACGAAATAAAATCATATAACCAAAAAAAAGAAAAATCTCAAAATTTGCTTGAATGATTCCTTTCCAAAATTAAAAAATAAAAAAACTAAAATCCCTGAAATTTTTTTTTCTTCCCCCTACATGTATAAAAGTTGAATCACTTTAATTTTAAAAAATAATCAAATTAATAATGATTTTATTGCGATTTTATAATTTATGATTTAATTTTAAATTTTTCTTTTTATGAGATTTGCATGAATCAAACAAAAATCCTTCGTTTTCTTATTTTTCTTTTTTTTTTTAACTTTTATTTTGACTTTTGACTTTTTTTTAAATAAATAAAATCAAATTGAAATTTTTCTTATTGAACTCGAAGCTTTCCAATCAAATCTAATTTTACAATCAAAGCTCATTTTTAATCTCGAAAAAATTTTGAACAAAATAGGATATCTACACTTAGATCTTGTGGTGAAGGAAGAGAAGGAAATCAGTGTGAGGAACAGGCAGAGGCGGAGAAACCTTTATACCTGTTGTCCTGGATATAAGTGGCCAAGCTAGTCATGTTGTGTCTGAGCATCCGGTGACCAGTGAAGGATGCAAATGCAAAGATGGAAAACAATAGAATTTGAAAGAAAATTTTTAACACCTCAAAATTTTCCTTTGGACATCCCAAAATTTTTTCCTTAACATATCTTTTTAAATTCTCAATCACTTCAATCACTGCTACCACTCAATACCTTACCGCTACCCACAGTCAACCAACATCTAACGTCTAAAAGACACTGCAATTAGTGGACATTCTAGAGAAAAAATCCTAGATCAGCCACTGGAGGTAAATTTTAAGGTAATAGCATTGAAGCCTGACAGGAAGAAGGATGCTATTCAAGATCTTGTGACTTTTAGCTAGAATAAAGAATTTTATGCAAGGATGGTGAAGGTTTGGAGAAGAGGATTTCTTCTTTACGGGCCACCAGGAACTGAGAAATCAACTATGATTGCTGCAATGGCTAATAATTTGTTGAATTATGATGTTTATGATCTTGAACTTACCGCTGTGTAAGGACAACCCGGAGCTGAGGAAGCTGTTGATTGACACTACCCGAGAGTCCATTACAGTAGTTGAAGATATAGACTGCTCGCTTGATCTCACAGGTCAAAGGAGGACGAAAGCATAGAAACCTTTGGACGATGTGAAAGAAAGATGGATAAAGAGATGAAAGAAACAACGGAAGAAGGAAGCAGCAAAGTGACTCTTTCAGGGCTATTGAATTTCATAGATGGGACTCCGGTCTGCTTGTAGGAAGAGAGGTTGATCGTGTTCACCACCAATTATGTGGAGAAACTCGATCTAGCTTTCATATGAAGAGGTAGGATGGACATGCATATTGAGCTTTCTTACTGTAGCTTTAAGGGATTCGAAGTGCTTGCAAAGAATTACCTGAATCTGGAAACTCATCCAATGTTTGATACGGTTCATGGGTTGATGAAGGAGACCAACATGAATCGTGCAGATGTTGCAGAAAACCTGATGCCCAAGTCTCCATTAGACAATGCTGAAAATGTCTTTCTAGCTTGATTCAAGCACTTGAGGAAGTGATGGAAGAAGCTGCCAAAAGGAATGCAGAAAAAGAAGCAGCAGACGGAAAGATAGCAGATCAGGGAGAAACTACTTCCAAGCAAATTGAGGATCCTGTTCCTACCAGGGAAGATGCTGCTCAATCCCAAGAAAACAGTGACAGAAAAACCATTCTGAACCAAAGATGTAACCAGGTTCCATTTTGATTCTAAATCAAGAATTACCGACTTCGGATTCATGCAGTGATTGTTAGAAGCGATTCTGTTCAGCTGTTAAAGCAAATGCTATGTAAGCGTCAGATTAGAATTAGTAGTAACACAAGCAGTTTCATTTAGGCAACTTTGAGCATGATCTGAATGTTCATTAAGTGCCGAAAAGCAGAAGATATATATCAGAATTCAGAACAATGTCATAACACAAAGTAGTAGTGATCTTACGCTACTGCTACAAACTTATTCTAAGTATTAATAATATATAAGCAAAAAAAGATGGAGGGGGGGGGGGGGGGGAGAATCCTAATATGATGTAAAACAAAAGAAATATTTACACGGCGATTTGAATAAGAAATGCTACATACCTTTGTGGGAGGATGGTTCCATTACAATAAAGAGAAGAACCAATCATACTTTCAGAGGGACCCAACCAACCCAGAAGCACGAGATTGATAAAAGATTTAAAACTACAGGGCTTGACATCTAAATCAAAATTTTCTCAGTTAAAATTTTAGTTAAAAGGTTATTGTACATTAATTGGATAAGCTAAAGAACTCCCAACGAATTCCCAAATCCCCATCGACCTGCCTGCCATAGGTTTCTTTCAATGTAGACAAGCTAAAAAAATGACTACCTAATCTGCACAACTCTCATCATGTTGCTTCCATGCTGCAAACTCTGAATGAATAACATCAGAGTAGAATAAAGCCAGAGGAATGTCGACGATAACTTCCTCTCTAGGCTTATTGCAAAATTTATAAATTTTACTATCATCACTTAAATTCCACCAGAAGAAATTAAACCCTTGCTCTCCAGCAGAGACGGAAGCTCTATAAATCACTTCTGTTATCATCTTTTGTTATTGTATTAGGACCATCATCAAAACCAGCGCAGGGAGCGAGCTCATTTAGGTCAAGGAAGCGTCTTTTTTTTACAACATCCACTTCATCTTGCCCAAGGCCATTTGATTGCTCAGGTGGCTGGCTTTGTTCTTTCTCTATTGTATCAGAGTTATCTTCCACAGGTGGATCAACTTCCATTTCCTGGTCATCATCATTACCATTGGAATCTAGACTTCCTTCTGAATACTCCTCATTCTTACTTGCATCTGACTGATCATCTGATGGATTGGATTTTTCAGGTTTTGACTCTGTTTCAGATTCCGACAGCTCATACTGTTTATAATTAATACGATTTCTGGAGGCTCTTTTACTACGTCTTAGACCTGACTGAAGCTCATCAACTGACCTTAATTTAGTTTCCCTCCGAGTGCGGCCTGGCAATTTCTTGAATTTTGGGGCTGCATCACTGTCCTCACTGATACTTAACAAGTCCTCTTCTTCCTCTTCCTCCTCTTCATCTTCAGCATCTTCCTCATCCCAACGGTATTCCTCATCTCCTTCAGAGCTGCTGGATTGCCTTCCTCGTTTTCGTTTCCTCAGGTAGTCCTCATCATATATAGCTTCTCCAACTATATCATCATCACTGTCAAAGTCTGCCTCATTATCTGAAACAGCTTCAATGAACTCCTTTGCTGAATATCGTTGAGGTCTCTGCCTCCGCCGATTGCTACAAGTGATCATGTAAAAATTTGGTCACAGTTCTACAGCAACAATAGGAGCCCTACAGCAATGAAATTATCATACCTACGATCCAATTCTCCAGATCTATTATCATCAAAATCATCATATTCAGGTGATTTGGGGGACAATAGATTGTAATTCTCATGTTCAGAGGCAGGTGAAGGACCACTCAATTTACCGTTTGCAGATGTTTCAGGTCTGGAAACATCTCTTCTATTGAGAGGATCTGGGGATGGTGGTTTCCGCCTGATACATGGTTGACAGTGAGAACTATATCAAGGGCAGAAAATACAGTTATAGATGATCACAAAGAAATTTATACATAAAAAATCAATGGGTTCTGGAATATGTCCTGGTTATAAATTACATACTTGGTAATCTTAATAGCCTCATTTATTGACCAATCATAATCATCTGCAAAATCATAAGAAACTATATCAGCTCTGATAAAAGCATATATATTTACCCAGAATCTCAATGTTAATGATCCCAACATAAGTCAGTTTAAATTTATACTATATCCTAGAGTTGAGATTAATACTGCCAGTATCTATGACTAGAAAGTAGAAACCAAAAACCACAAGAAAACTTGGATATCTTGTAAATAACACAGCCAATATCCTGTAAAAAGAGGCATGTTGGACTTTAAAGCTCCTTACCAAATGTGTAAGTGACAGGTTTTCTGTCACGAAGGGAGCGTCCTGGAGCAAGCCCATCAACAATCAAGAAGTTATCAAGAAGAAGTGCTTGTCTATGTTGCTTTTTCAGTAACCTCTCTTTCCTCTAAGCAACAGAAAGAATCAGATTAAGAGAGATTTTACTTTAAGATAAGCGTAACAGTTCTGAGGTACTGCTTAATGACAACAAGAAACTTTTAGGTACCTTGTGCTCCTTTTCAATCTCAGGAAGCTTGTCATTCTTTAACTTCTTCCCTAGTGAAGCCTCTGTTCTATTTTTACTGGCAAAAAGTTTCTCCTGCAGAAGCAAATGGACATGATAATATGACTAGTAGATCAAATAAAAGCTAAAGCAACTTTGCATTTCTAGCAAATACAAACAATTTTCAATTCCTATATGCAAAAATCAGTCTCTTCATCACCCGTAGGTGGATGGAATATCTTCCTCTTTCAAAGTTCCATATGACAATTAACTTTACATGAATAACACAAGATAATAGATAGAATTAATTTCCAAACACCACTAAAGTTTATGCTAATGACAATAATATAAGATTAAAACTTGAAGGTCTTGACAAGGTGATGGGAAAAGCAAGCTATTCAGAAGACTAGATTAATTATCTCAATCAGAATCATTTGTTATGATCCCCCCTCTAAAAAATGCTAAGGTAACACACTGGGAACTTCAGCATTGATGACATGCATAGATCAGAACTAGACGATGGCATCTTTAACTGTAGACATATACTCTAACAAGAATCCTCACCTATTACCTAAACAAGAATGAAATTTCTCAGGGAATTTCATACAAGTAAGCAAGGTAGTAACCATTCAACTAAATTTCCTGTAGATCAGAATGATATCATCATTATGTTTGTTATTGCCTTCAAATAAGGCAACAAGAGAGGAGAAGAGAAAAGAAGCCATAGTAAACATGCCTGAAAACAGCATCCAGTAAAATCATCTGTGGCCTGTTTCTAACCTTATATCTAACTTTGGAAGTAGAAGAATCACAGACATACTCTTCTTAAGCCCATGCAATCAACTGAACACCTAGTGCCCTGCTCCATAAAGTTAATACTATACTTTAAACCATCATCCATCTCTAGTGACTATTTCTTGGCTCCAGTGAACTCCAAACCACTTCAATTCAAGGTTAGCAGGTTAAAACTTCAATAACATAGCTCTTCATTTTCAAATCTTTCTCATTGTCAGCAGGAATTCCCCTACCTATTTCTTCCACAAATTGCGATAGCAATTTTATTCCAAAAACCAATTTTCAGAGACCCTGCTCTTGGAGGTTGCCATTGTATTGAAGAGCTTGGTTTTTGCTAGATGATAGGGTTAGCATGACATATTTCTGGAGACTGATGTTTCGAGCTTCCTACCTTAAACAAACAACATTCTGATTTGTCCAACAGGGTACAGCCTGCCTACTCTGAAGGGTGAGTTAGCTATAAAGACTCATACTAGTTTCAGATTCTGCTCTTGTAGCCACGTTAAAAGAAAGAGCAACAATATGGTTCAACGTCCATGCTTCAGCCAAGTTTGACTTGACACTAGACAACATGGTGCATGTATCTGTTTGACCTTCTTTCTATTAAAAATCCCATCAGAATTTTCAACATACTGCAACTTTTAAGAAGCATCAGGTGTAATGAACCAAACTCAACAGAAGACTGCTCAAAAGCAAACTCTCCAATTTTCAACATTATGGTGCATGACATGAACTGCATAATAAACCCACAGTACATAAAAGAATTTCATACGTGTGTGTGTGTGTGGGTGTATCAACTCCTATTTAAGAGCAAGGCAGATAGGCAGACTTTTAGATCCCAATTTTAAGCATCATAGACATTTAAATTTCTATTGCTATAAACTTGTTTTAATATAGAAATCCATATTCATCGTTTTGGATTTCCATGTTTATATATAATAATGTCTAAATCCCAAACATTGAAAATAGATTTACTAGGAAGTCAATACGACCAAATCTTAATGAGAACTAAAGATGAAGATTATCATCCACAGACAGAAAACATACACGAGGATGGACCATTATAGCAACTTACAGAAACATCTTGAAATTCTTCCAAATTTGTTGCAACTGTTTCCCACAGATATGTTGCACTATTAGGGACATGGGAACCTTTCATCTTTGCTTTCTTCAACTCAACTTTCCTTATTTCCCGGTATAAGCGATGACCAACAACAGGATCATCTTCATACCTGTGCAAACAACAAACAAATAACTTACACAACAATGCCCAGAAGAGAAATCTCCATAATAAAACTATTATAAATTCTCTACCAAGTGTAACACTCAAACCAAGCAAGTAACAAGGGGGAAACACATAGAAGCTTAATTGAAGCTTTTTTACAAGCACAGAGACATTACCAGTAAGTAATTCCCTGAGAATCACCTCCGATACGTTCTTTACGAAAGGCTGAAATTTGAACACCATGCTTAAGTGAGTTGTCAATGTAGTTCCGAATGTCTTCTTGCTGCAAAAGATAACTTGGATTCAGCTCCCTCACTAATTGGAACAATCGATTTACACAATAAAGCACACAAAGGTTTAGATCTAAAAATCATTCAGGAGGAACTTTTTACTCTCTTAAGTTGATAGCAACGTGACTATTATAAGGAGGTATTAAAAAGAAGGAAGCTTTCATATACATGACAACTACTGTGAAACAGCAAAAACTGTATAGATCAGTATGTTAGTGAATCAATGGTTAATAAAATGCAACTGTAACACAGGTCCTAGGTAAGGTCAACTGGTGTCCAACCATCCAATCATCCAATCCTAAGCTACAGGAATTCCACCATTCAGGACTTATTTGAAATAATTGCAAACTTAAATTTTAGCACCACCAATATCACATGCATAGACTTGAAGCTGCCCTCAAAATTACAATATAATATTAATGTGAAACCAAAGTCAAGATCAAGATAAGAGAAGCATCAAGCATTTGCAATGGAGAGTTAAAGGACAATTTATTGGTGATGATCATACCTCAACACGAATGTCACATAGTGCTTTCAAGATCACAACACGAACTCCAGGATCAAGTGACTTGTATACTTCAAGCTCCACCCTAACAAATTAGTATTCATTAGAAATGTGAAAAGCATTATATGTTAGAGTATTCCAAAGATGCATGGCAACTCACCCATGTGAAGCAACAACAGGAAGATCCCCATCTGCAACCTGCAAACATGCATAATTTATGTGAAGTCTAAATATAAATGCAAACTATGCATGCCGCAATATTATTAAACATAAATAAAAGGACAAGCAGTCCAGTTACCCAATGCCACCAGTCTCTTAATTTTCTGCAAAGAACAGTAACCCAGGTATCACGTGTAAGGGAAATCCGAATAATTGGAGGGATTGCCTGCAATGGATAAAGATAAAGTTATATTGATAAGCCATCACAGTTGCAGAAACAAGTAAAAATACTTTTAGTGTAATAGATTTTCAAGCAGCCTGAGAAGAATAGTTTCAAAAGAAGGAAACAAATTCTATAAGAATAGCTATGGCATTGACCAACAAACTTAACAATATTCAGAAGCTATATGAATAGGTAGCAACTATATAGTTAAGGTAGTTTTCTGCCTGACTAATTCATTTAAACTGAAAGTAAACAAACCATCAACACATAATTAAAAAATACAAGATACGAAATGATATTCCAGTTAAAAAAGCTTCAGTTTTTCTGAATAGATTACAGACTGTACATTTACATGAGGAATTCAAATGATTCCTTATAATTTTATTTAAGTGACTTTTCCAGAAGAGAAGATAAAACAACTCAAATGAGCAATGATAAAGTTTGTTTTACAGAGTAGAAAGTTGCAAAACTCAAACAACAGATGAAAAATTAATGTATAGGTAATTATCGTAAATGTCATTACTGAATAGGATAAAGAACTATACTTTAATGATAAAAATCAGGCTAAACGGAGCTTATTTGGCTTTATATCCTTCTTTTTGGCCCTAAATAGGTTCAGAAAACTTCAAGAAACCCATTGAAATCAACAAATTCAACAGATATCAGTCTCACCCACCTTTCTTTTAAGTACATCCTGTTTTATTTTATAATGATAAATACTTCTTAGCCAACAAGTAAATGGACAATTAACATTAAAAGTACCAACCTAGAATTCCTTTGTCCAATCACAAACATGTACAAACAGCCATAATTCTCTAGAGTTCATTGTCATTCTAAGAGCAAAGTATCTCCTTTTAATGCTTGAAATGTAGAAACTACATACTAATTTCTGATGCACATTTTGCCACAAAAACTTTCTTACATACAGATGGAAGACATGGGCTACAGGCAACCAAACCCACGCAGCTGGAAGCCAGGAAGTACAGATACGATATACATTAGAACCAAGAAGCTGAACTACATGCAATGAGGTTCCAATAATTGACACAACATACTGCAACTTGTAACAATTACCATCCAACTACAACTACAAATACAAACACATATTTAGGATTTAGAATTATACTATTGGCCATTTCAATTCAGTAAGCGATAATAATGCCTAACTAACAGGTACTTAGGATCACTTAAGGTTTTTACTTCGCATACATGAAGCCATCTGCAACCTTTCAATCACAACTCTTCAGTGAATCATTGTTCCATCACACCTATGGCAAACCATGGTTCTAGCACAACTAGTGGTTGCGTCCTTGGAAGCTGCTTCAACCCACTTATTAACTCCTGGTATCATTCTTCGAAGCAATTATGCATTTTACAATGTTTGCTTCCATAAAAGTATGATATCTCATTTACAAACATCCAATATGTCATCTAACCATAATTCCAACAAAAAAAAGACACAACCCTGAACAGAACTATTACTTAAATTTACCATACTTAATCCAGCTCTTTCATGTCAAAAAAAAAAAATACTAATCCAAATTAGTTAGCTATATCTTTCTTCATACTCTACATATTTAGAAACCAAGATATAAACTACACTAAGCAAATAGCATACTTAGGCATCTGCCAGAAAGCCCCAGAACAGCAGCTGATTTGGATAAAGAGTGGTACCAAAAGGCCATAAGTACATAAGACAAGTTAACAAATTTAACCATTACTAATTATTGTACAGAAAGACTATGGTAGTCAATCCCAGAAGGCTCTTCACAGTTATACACACTGATGCTCAGCACCATATCAGAGTTTAATAGTACAACAAAAGTCTGAATGTGAATTATTTCAGGTCTAACTATGGAAAACATGAAGTTGTCAAAAAGCATCTCATACAAAAAATTCAAGACTTTTTTCCTTGTCTATTTCTATATCATTAAAGAGTTTACCCAAAAATTCAACCAAGTAAGCACAAAGCTTAACACATTAGGTTGTTTTAAGTTTTATCAATCATATCCAAAGAAAATAAACACTTCAATTCTTTATCTCAATGCTCCAGCAAAGATAAAATATCTCGACTTCAAGGATTTTGATCGATAACACTTTTAAAAATTCAACCTTTTTGACAAAGAATCAAGTTTTCTCATGTCAGAACATATATAATCACCTGAATTATAAATATTTCAAAGGAGCAACTTAATCATTTAACTATTTTGCATGTTCTTTTAACTTCATTTGGCCAATATAGGAAGTCTGAGACCTAAGAAAATGAAAATTACCCTCAGACCCTCTCCAAGAAGAAAGCCAATTTATTTGTTATACAAAGATTTCCCGAGTCCATCAATAGCCACAGCTCAAAGAGCCCAAAGCATAGCACTTAAATATAAAAGTAAAACAGCTCATATAACTGCATCACAGGAAAAGACTTGCATGGCAATAGCTTAGTAAAAGCATGAACCCCTTAATTGAAGAAAGTCATGCATCAAAAGATAGATTCCATAACCATCCAACTATGGCTCTACCATGTTCAAAGTGCTTAGTAAAAATCAACACTCATATATAGCAGTCAAACTAATAAACGTATAGCTAAAAGAAAAATCCGACTCTAAAAAGAACACATTCCCTCAATGAGAACTAAAGTAATAACAACAACCATGAAAAAAAGAACATATAAACAAAAAGGGCATGTTTTAAAGCACCTAAAAAAAAAGTTCAAACTTTTTAAGAGTTGAAGTGAAAAAGAACCAACCTTTAACAAAGGAATATGAATATCTCCCAAAGTATCATTAGGCGTAATCAATGCTGTCTCAAACTCCTCCGCCGAGAACTCCACAGCTATATTCAAAAGAGGCCTGAAAACCTATGACACTCAAAACCCATAAGTTCTCAACAAAAACTAAAGCTTTCATAATAACTAAATAAAAACAACACAACGCAAGGGATTGAACTTACATGCAAGAAATTAAGTACTGAAGCTAACTCCCACATAGACCGAATGCTCCACCTAGGCAACTGCGAAGGCTCCGGCTGCCCCACTAAGGGAGTAACGATTTTGCTACTACCGCTGCATTGCTGCTGCGGCGACGAAGAACCATCATTCTCATCCTTGTATTGCTTCTGCTGCTGCTGCTCCTTCTTTGCCGGTTTCTGTCGCCGCTCGATAGCGGCTTGCTGTTGCCGCGCGTAGAGCCTTTGGGAGGCTCGGATTGTACAAGCTCGCGACGGGCGATTGCTCCTCGTTAAGGGGGGCGTGGGCGTGGGCGTAGTGTTTGCGTCTGTGGTTTCCCGGGTTTGGGCAGTCGAGGTGTCGTTTTGGGCGGGAAGGGTGTCGTTTTGAGGTGACTTGGGAGGGATCGGAAGGGAAGGGGCAGTATCGAGGGACATGGTGTAAAAGGAAGAGATCAGGTGACGGTTTTAGGGGAATTATGGTGGGATTAAGTGTAGAAGATTTGCATTATGGAGAGATAGAGGAATTATTATTATTGTTTTTATTATCAAAATCAAAGTTAAAAAAAATAAAAATTTAAGAAAAAGAAAAAGAGAGGAAAAATTTTAGGGTGTTTTTATTGATGGAGGTTTGTTTGGGTTAAGAGGAGTGAAGAAGAAAGGAGAACCAAAGGTCCAAACCATCCTTCATTCATTCCCTTCTATTTTTCATCATGTATAATTCTTTTATGTTTAAAAAAAAATTTGGGAAGTTTTGTGTTTGGTTGGGCGGAAAGAAGGAATCAGAGAGAAAGGAAGAGTCGGGGGGAACGGGGAGGAAAGGCAGATGGAATTGGGGGAAGAGAAGCAGAGGGAGGAAAACACCTGGGAATTTGGTAGGGAGTTGGGTTTACTATTTTTTTTTTCAGCAATTTTTGTTTTATAAATTTCTTTAGTTTTTTTTTTTTTATTTTTTTTTATTTTTGGGAATTTGGAACTCCTCTTGTCTTTCAACCTTCCCTTTTTTTTTTTTTTTCTTTGGTTTTCACTTTTGGAAACCTTGAGTGTGGTGGGTTGTTGAAATAGATAATTTGTGATTAACTTAATTTTCTTGTTATGGTAATTTTAATCTAAAGGTATACTTGAATGTGTTAGGTTCCTTAGAGAGTTTAGATAAACTCAAAGAATTTGTTTTTTATTTTCTTCTTTTTAATTTTACATTCTCAACTGTAAAATTTTACTTGATTTTAAAATTGATAAATTGGGTTACTTTGAATTGAATTGATTTTATCAATTCAATTTGATTCATTAAATTTTTTAAATTTTTTATTATCATTTTAATATAGTTTTGCATATATTTAAATAAATTTATACATAAATAATTATTTTACTTTATAAAAATTAAAATATATATAATTTGATTCAATTTAAATATTTTTTATTTTTTTACTTCTTGATTTAAAAGTCAAATAGAATAAAATAAAAACATATAATATTTAAATTTAAATCGAATTAAATAAAAAAGTGATTTTAATAAAATCAAATATTATTATTTTAAATTGATTTTAATTTTTTTTCCATTTTTTTATTCTATCGGATGGACATCTTTCATTTGAGTAACAATATGCAATCTTATTTTAGTAGTACTTTTTTTTCACCAATTTTTCTATCCTTTCAACATGTAACATTTATTTTCATACAAAATATAAATACAAAATTAATAAACAGATGTTACTATGCAATAACAATAGACAAGAATTAGCCATCGAAATAATAAATAAATTCTTTTATTATAAAAAAAATTAATGCTCTTACAAAAAAAAAGAAATGACGAAATAAAACTCACTTCTTCCATGATTTTTAAATAATCTTTTAATCACTAGACTTAAAAAAAAAAGTCATAAATAAAATATTTCATATCTTAATATAAAAAAAGCTCATATTTATAATCTATATTTACAATTTATATGTATGTTATCTAAATGTAAGCCAGCTAAAACATTTCTCTTATTAATCCCAAAAATAATAATAGCAAGAAGATAAAGCAGTGACTTAAATCAGAAATGTTTTTTAGAGGGGTCAAAAAGTAATTGCATTTTTTGTTATATATATTTTTTTAATTTCTTAAAATTATATTTTAAATAAATAAAAAAATCCATTGATCCATCATATTTTACAATAATGCTATGCTTAAAAGAATAGAATAATGAAAGTGGAGACAGAAAAAGGAATGCACCCAAAGCAGCTTCTTTCGATTTGATGGTGGCATGGGCAACTCTTTTGGGTTTGACCAAGGAAATACATATGTGAAAAAAAAAAAAAAAGATTGGTTTCTAGATTGAAATTTACTGCTGAGTGGGGCATGCAACTTTTATCCCATAAAGATGATTGAAAAGGCAAAGGGTATGAAGATTTGCCTAGTTAGAGGAATGCCTTTCCCAAAATTTTTCCTGCGGGAAGGTAAAATAAAATTTTTTTTTTTAATAAAAAAAATTTTAATTTAATCACCTTCAGTTTTTTTAAAAGTAAGTGTGATAGTGAATTCGATTGTCTTTATTAATATATAATATTTTAAAATTTTAGATTTGATTTAATATTAATTGATGTTTTAGAATCGAATTGATTTAAATAAAATTTTATTGATTTGATTTAATTTGATTCAATAATTTTAAAAAATTTTGTGTTATTATTTTTATATTATTTGTAATATTTTTAAATGGATTTAAATATAAAATAATTATTTTATTTTATAAATTTTAAAATTTTATATACAAATTAAGAAATAAATGTAATTCAATTCCATTCAAATATTTTTAATTTTTTAAATTCACTACTCAAACCAAATTTAAATATTTAATATACAATCTAAACCAGACCAAATAAAAAAAAAATTCATCCGAACCAAACACTAATATTTTAAAATTGATAGTTGTTTTTTCTTTCCCCTCTCCCTACTTAGTGAAGTGGATTTGCTTTTGAGATTTAATAGAAGAGCAATCTCATAAGCAGCTTGTAAAACAGATTGCATATCTCTACAAGCAAAGGATAGGTACTAGTACAAAGAGGACAAGGAGACCAATAAATCTGCAACTGCTCAAGGCTTTGCTAGATATGGAAGATGAAGAGTGTGATGTTGAAGTCATATTATAAGCAACAATTTCTTTAGAACATGTGTTTACAGGTGTTTACTCTGTAAACACCTGTGATTGATAGAATATAAAGATCTTTGCTATTATCTTGGGCAAACGAGAACACAAATCCGAGGAAAGTGGAGGAACTTCCTATTGTGATATTGGTACATGGTATTGGAGAGTCATGAGCACGTTTGAAATGAATTCTTGAAGTGCTGAAGTTGCCACTGTTTAAAGGATACTCATTCCCTGCCCATATGGCTTCTCCATACAAATCCATGTATATATACCTGGAATTTAAATTGGTATTATGATGGTTATTGACGTAGGAAAAAGGGGGGAGGAAGAAGAACACTAGTAAAGAAAGAAACTTTCTATGCATAAGGGTGAAAGAAATTTTTGTTTAAAGACATATAACACATTGCTTAAAAGAACAAGTTAAGAGGTGGCATTTTGTAGGTTTGGGGTTCAAATCCTAGCATCTGCAACCCTTTTGTCTATTCTCAGACTATGGCTTCATTGTAAAAAGAAAAAAAAATTAAGACCAAGTTACTAACCTTCCATACATGCATGGATCAGTCAATGACCGATAGAAAAAACCACCTATTATTGATGCTGATCCATTAGTCTTATCTATCTCGGAGTGACCCATTACCGGATGGATTTATGGAACTGGGAGGAGTAATTCCTCCTGGAGAGAGTTCTGGATGGAAAAGTAGGGGACCCTCATATACCCGCCAGCCATAATTTCCTCCCTTTGTGACAATATCTACTTCTTCATATTGATCCTATTAGGAACATCAACAATCGAGAGGTAAGTCAGCCACAAATTAAACTCATTGATAATAGGTAAATAAGAGAAATAAAAACTTCAAGATCAAAGTCTGAGTCCTTGATGTTCAATGCTGAAATAATTTATTTCACACTATTTATAGGATGATCAATCTGTGGGAAGCAGCCGAACAATTCACATTCTAGATTTCAGAAGTCATATTATGTATTTATATTTGTTGCACTGTTGGTGTATAAATGCTATATACTGTCAGTGAATATATGAAGTAGATATTAATCTATTATAATCACCAAACCTGGCCAGTGTCTCCGCAGAGGAAGTAAGAAGGTCTTTGTGAATCAAAACTACAGCGCCAAGGATTTCTGAATCCAAAGGCCCATATCTCAGGTCCAAGTTCTTTGTCTTCTAAATACGGATTGTCTCTTGGTATAGAGTAATTTCCCCACAGACCGAGGTCATTTATTTCTTTTTCACCTGCTCATGTTTGCAAGTTATTGTTAGATTATTTATTGCCTAGCCCCCACAGAGTAAAAACAAGAACAAGATACTGTTGCAGACTACAGGATCATAGTGCAGCAGCAGAATTTATAACATTTTGTTATCAACATGGCTGGAGACCAACAGCAAAGCATCAATAGTAGATATAAAGAGTGAAAATTTCCTAAGCGTTCAGTTTTTGCTTGATACATATCATAATCTTCATTCACATATAGAAATCTGAGTTGAAGACATGCCGAGGTATGTACAAGTCACCATGAATTTCTCATGAAGTTAAATTTACTTATTGAAGAACGAAACTGAACTGCATTGATACATTCATATGTTATGTATTTTCTGAGTTTTCTAAAATGATCATACAAAATAAATATCTTCTTTTGGAAACCAGAGTTGCAAGCATGCAAATACGGTCATATAAATTTATGTCTCTGCATATGCTGCATCAAGAACAAGATAAAGATAACCACACAGTTGATGGCTCAAGAAAGCAAAAAGAGTTTTGGTCCACAAAAACTTACTAGGAATGTTATCTATGTCAAATCTCAAGATCTTTCCGAGTAAGGATTTCTTATTCTGTGCAAAATTGTAAGGATCATCCTTGCGTGCACCATCTCCCATTGTCAAGTAGAGATACCCATCTCTAGGACCAAAAAGAAGCTGTCCTGCATGACCTCCTCCGTATGGCAGACCCATTGTCAGTATCCTTCTCACCTCCGATGGATTTGCTCTTTTTGCCTTGGAAAGCAAATCATGAATGCAATTTCATTGGAATCATATGGTGAGTGGTTTAGAACAAACTAACAGAAATGTGTGAACGTGTACCATGGAAGGTTTTGGTGCAGTACCATTGACAGTGAATTCTGCAATAACACTATGGTACTGACATGGCTGGATCCCATTATCAGCTCCAATCTTTGAGGGATCACAATTCACATCTGTATTGCATAAACATCTAGCAAAACAACCTTGTTGTTTAATCTTATCACAATTGAATGACAAAAAGAAGCGACTATTGTTTGCAAAGTTTGGGTGAAATGCCATACCCATTAAACCAAACTCAGTATCAAAAAGCACTTTGTCACTTATGTCTAGAAATGGTTGGGATTCATCAATCCCCAAAATCTCACTTGAACCAACATCAGGAACATTTGCCAACCATATCTCACCTTTTTGGTTGGACAAGAAGACACGATCAGAGCCATCTGGATGCGGTATCAAATTAAGATAAACCCCATTTTCAAGTTTCTCAAGGCACAGACCTTCTGGATGTTGAGGAGCTTCCCCGTTATTAAATGAAACAGTTTCCCCATTGAAACACACTGCACCTTCATCAGAAGGCCCACCAAATGCTTCACAAAAATCTTTCCCAGACCGCCATTGATCCATTAATTTCAAAGGAGAGGAACTTAAGTCGATGCTAGCTCTGCCTTCTTTTGATGGCAGAAATGGAGAACTCAATATGGATACATTCCCACAGGCATCCCACACCTTTTAACAGAAGCCAATTGAAGAACCAGTGCTGAAGTGAGGTGATTTTGTTGTTACTGTGGGGTTGCACAGAACTGGAATATCTTTGAGGCCTGAATTAATTCCAAACAGCTGAGCAGAAAATTGATTACATGCCTGCAAATTGCAAACAGAAAACTATTAGCATTGACATAAACTACATATTAAAGAGTAAACCAGCTAATCATGGCTTCACATTTGTTGAGCAGAGTAAATACAAAGTGAGAATTTTTAAAATTTTTTTCACAACCACCAGTTCTAGTTGCTTCTTTCCCTTCATCCATTCATGACAATGACTCTTGTTATGCATAGGAAAATGTAAGGATGTGTACAAAACTATGATATCAAGACACCAAATATTTTGGTTAAACCAAAATATAATCATGGTTGTGACACAAACATTTGAAGTCCAATCTGAACTTTAAAGTAAAAAGATAATTTTGGTTGCCAATTTTCACAAAACAAAGGGAAAACTTTGAGTTGGGAATATTTGCAAACAATGGCTTACAAAACATATACCATACGGAAGCACTAGCATAGTTCAGAAAACTGGGATTCCAAATTAATTTGTAAACTACTCAGAATACAGGACAAGGAAATTCATTTTGAATTGGAAGAAAAAAGACTGGAGAATTCCGAGATAAAATATAGTCAAACCAGAATATAGCACTATTTTAAAGCTGAGTTCCAGTGAGCTTACTGAGCATAAAATAGATTTTAGGATAGAAGCACATTCTGTATCAGAAACATTCAATGCTTGAAAACGTTCTTGCAACTGCAAATCTTTAGCAGAGTCACAGCAGGCACTTCCAGTGTAAGAACAAAAGTTGAGCGGCATCCCCGGCTTAATGGGAGCTCCTGCATCAAAAGACAAAGTATTAAATTGTAGAACAAAAAGACAAGCATAGAAAGATGACATGAATAGATAGAAGAGACAGAGAGGGAGACTTGAATCAGTGCACAATGGATATGAGGAAGAATGACAGGAAAACAATGTAGAAAGCAGGAAGAAAACAGCGAGAAGATCAGCCATCTCTTTGGTATCCAATTGACCATAGAACAAATAAATAAACATGCAGGCCAATCCCTTTTCTATTCCAGTGAGTAGTTTATTTTATTTCCCTAGGATCTCTCAAACAATGTATTGAACAAAGAAATTGTCTTTACAAAACTCATTTTGTTGATCTCCACGAAGGGGTTAGATTTTGACAAAATGAAATAGAAAGTATATTTTTTTGGCCATCAATGCCAATTTCATTAAGAAAATGCAGCTAATCATTGCTAGGTTAACACTTATCCATCATCCCAATCAGGCGACATTTAATCAATAATACATACAATCAGTGTGTGCCTAAAATCGGAAGAGGAGTAGAAAGTAGGAAAATACAATTCCCAAACTAAAAATGTAAGTAAGTGCTTTGTTGATCGGAGCAGATATATTTTATAATTCACTTTACGAAAATTGCCTTGACTTACAGAGTCTCATTAACTGATAAGGCTTCAAAGTTTGCCAATAAAAAATGAGGCATTACAGTATGAGAAGCGTTCCCCTGGACAATACAACAACATGGGAACACAAGCCCCCAAGAACAATAATATCGTTCAAGCCACATATCCCTAAAAATAGCTTGTACATGCTTCAATCTGATTGTATGGCAGCTGCTTTTCCTTGACATCTCAATAGCTATCAGCTATCAAGTGCGCCAAGTGCCTTCATATCCTCCAAGAATGCCGTGTACGAGTCATCAATGCTCTGTGCCTTCAGAGCTGATGATGAGCTGGTTGATTCTGGCTTCACAATGATAGGAGCTACAGGCTTGGTGGTCGCTGTGATGGTTGAGAGTAAAGGCTTTGGTTTTGCTTTTGGGGCAGCAGTCTCTCTCCTTACTCGAACCGATGCAGGAATCTAAAACCATAAAAGCTTAAATCAGGAACACGTATGCAGCCCTTTTCTAGAGTTTTGGCAATATATGGACATATCACATTGGTCTTTAGGAAGTTAATAGGGTTCACATAAGTAGTATTTATTTGTCTGAAAATAGTTTTCAAGTATAGAGAACAAAGTTGGCTAAGTTCAGTTATCATATATGGCCGAAAAAAAAGAGCCAGTGCATACTTAACCAAATCCAAGAGCAAAGAATTCTTCCAAGATCTAACCCTGCTTACCCAATTCAACATCCCAAATCTAAAAAAAATGGGAACAACTCATTGTTGATATAGACATATCAAGGAGAGATGATATATTTATATGTGGAATGTATCTTAACCTTAAAATCATCTGGTGAGGCAATACCCAGGTGTTCACTCAAGATAAGCATAAACAAAAAGAGACCACCTTAGGACCAGAATGCCACACCCTCCCATGCTCACTTATGCATGACCAGAGGTCAGCTGGAAATATTTTAACCACTCAGAATCAGCAATGTTGTTCACTAAATTCCAAGTATTCTATTTCTCATGCATTCACGAATATATCATATATCAAATCTTGTTCGTGGCCACAAATAAGTATAAAACAAACATAAAACTAGTAAAGGAAAGTGGACTTACCATAGCTGTAAGTTCTGGCTGGTGCTGAGCCAGTGGCCGCTTAACAACAGTAGATGCAGCAGATTTAATATATGATGGCTTCTGTGGTAAAGGTGGTTGATTTGCAGAATTATAATCATCCAGTGCAGTCGGAGGAGGACCAGGTGGAAGTGGCGGTCTCATCATTGGTGGAGGTCCTGGTGGAGGGCCCAAAGGTGGTCTTGGAATTAGTGGGACCATCATTCCAGGGGGAGCAGCTTGACCAGGAAGTCCACTGGCAGATAGGGGTGCCCGCATGTCTGGAGGTGGTGGTGGAGGGAAATGTGATATTCCTGGGGGTAATACATCGGGCTGTAAAACTTGGACCATGGCAGGTCCAGGCACTGGAGGTTGTTGCCTGGGAGGAGGTGGGGGTGGTGGAACCATTTTAGGAACCTCTTTTATCCCCGGGTGGTTATTGGCATCAGCTTCTGATGAAGAGGCACCTTCAGCCTGGTTAATTGCCAATTTAGGGGGCATTCCAGGAGGGGGAGGGAGCACAGGAGGCACCTAAGAAGGTGAGACAGAGAGAGATTAACACTTTTTTCACGGCCAATAATTCTAGATAATTACGAAACAATTTTTCTTTTCTTGGCATTTTGGACCAAGTGTAGATCTTTCTGGGAATAAAGATATTTGCATTTCCTAACTTTGAAAACTCAAAATATACTAAATCTATTGTTATATGCTCAAGTCAGAAAGGCAGCATGTCTGGAGAGGATTGAATAAGAGCTTACCTGAGAAAGTCCCTTGGAGGTCAAGTCATCTGACAGTACAGATATTTTCTCTCTTTCGTTTCCACTAATGCCAGGTGGAGGTGGTTGCACAGACTGTGGAAGAGGAGGAGGTGGAGGTAGCGGAGGGCGAACTGCAACTTGCTCTTTAGCTGGTGGCCCAGGTGGTGGAGGCAAAGCAATGCCCAAGTTTGCCGTGGCAGGCTTGGGTGGCATCGGAGGTGGGGGTGGTAGAGGCAAAGATGCTGGCAGAACAGAACCATCCCCTGAGTTTGATTTACCAGTATCTGGCAAAGGAGGCGGCGGTGGAGGAGGTGGAGGTGCTACATCTACAGGAATATCCTCTGACTCTGTCTGTGAAGATGATGCAGCAGCACTTGATGATGCAGTAGTCAAGGGAATTCTAGGTCCTAAAGGCCAAAACCAAAAGCAGACTAAAAGCATGAGAGAGAGAAAATAAAACCAACTTAAGTATTTAAGTCAGAAATGCAGAAGAGAGAACTATGTTTCAGCAGAAAACAAATCAAAGAGGAAGCTACTAGACCTATTGATGATTTGTACATAGGTGGCTTTCCAGGTGGTGGAGCCCCCGTGGGATTCAGAGTGGGGTGATAATAAACAGAGTCCTGCAGATCAAAATTTTCAAAAAATAGTAAACGTTAGGCTCCAAAGTAAGCAGACATTATCAAAATATAACTGTAGAAGTTGATCATCCAATTCAAATCTTACTTCAGGCTTAGGATGCTTTGCTCTCTCTTCTTCTTCTGCGGTTGTCCTTCTCCGAGGAGGCCCCAAGTGACTGCAGCAGACGACAAACTATAGTTGGTAAATGAGAATCTGGAGATGCTAACACTAAAGCATAAACAAACATTTCAAAAAGTGAATGTCAATTTACCTGAACATAACAGGAGTCTCACCCTTCTCCTTCATTTTGTCTTCATATTCCTGACCAAGGGAGTAATGAAGACTGTAGTTATCTCATGCAGACAACTAATTCTAATAAATGGCAGAAAGATCATAAGCCAATATTTCTTTCCTCAATAAAAATTCCAAAATTTATCACTTATATTATTACCTTCCTCTTCTTTAAGACAAGGTTAAGTGTGTCTTCAAGTTGTCTCTTCTTGTGTTTTCTTGCTTTGTCTAAAGCACCTTCAGCCTCTGCAATAATTCAACAAAATTGACCATATTTGGTAGTCCACCAGAATGCATTTCAAAATTAAAATTAGTAAAGAAATAACCAAATATACTAGTGAGAACAAAGTGAACTGCGGACACAAAATGCTTAAGCAATAAAAATTCAATAGGAGTACATTCTTGAAACCCACTTATAATACCCCTTTCAACCTTTCTTCAAATAAAATGAAAGAGAGAAAGAAAGAAAAGAGAAAAGAAAACTTTCGTAGAAAGTTATAACATCAATGCCGAATAGTCAAAGATAAACATTTTTCCACTAAGATTGCCATCTTGAAATGGGAAAAATCAATTGGTTTTCATCTTTATGCTGCATTTGATCCAACAACTACTTCATTGGAGGAAGATTTATGGCTACACCCCCTAGTTCTTGGCTTTAAAAAAAGAATTACTAAAAGGAAATAATGAATTTTTCCACTTGTTTTAAAAACTATGTTTTTCACATGGTTAACACTTGGTTAATGCAAAGCTCAAGGAAATGTCTGAATGCCAAAACAGATGGTCACCAGAACCTCCTCCAAAGGAAGGCAAAAACAAAGCAGAAAATCAGTTAGATACTAAACTAAGGCTTGTTCAGCCCCTTGCATTAAAAGTACAGTCTTAAAATTTCCCGACTAAGTGGAAATGAAGGTACAATCTACTGCAATTTTTGTTCTGATTTAAAATCATAACCATCACCAATAAGCTCTATTCATTTTGAGTAAGTAATAATTCGCATCGAAACAAATATTTAATCATTACTCAATTACGAAACAAACCGATTCAAATAACGTACTCATCATTTCTAACTTCTCAATCTGTTCCATGATTGTCTGCGGATCCTTCTTCAAAATCCCCACCTCTCTCACCTTCTTCCTTTCCTTCTTGTTCTGTTACAAAAAAAAATAATAATAATAATAACACATCAATAAAGAATTTATGTGTGAATCCTAAGCTGAAACAATGACTTAGATTTACGAATTCAGCTCCAAACCAAAGTAAACAAAATAAAATTATGCGACTTTATTAAGGCGAATATTAACTTTAAAGCCAATAACTTCCCTCATATTCAACACCATTCTCTGGAAATTCCTTTTATTTAATTAAATAGTAAAATACAGAAAAAAAATCAAGTTTTTCGGTTTAGGTGAAATCGTTTTTCTTTGACTTTTAAGCCAAACAATAAATTAGGGCAATGAATGAGGGGCGAAATTAATTTTTTTAAGAAAAATAGAATGGAATGAATTAAAAATGAAATGAAGAATCGAGCATCATTGAAGTAAAAAGGGAAACAGAAAAGCCTAAAAAGAAACGGAACAGAAAGAGTGTAGGATTTTACCCGTTTAAGTTCTTTCTTACGGAGCTCCTTACGGTAGGCGTCCGTGGGGTTCATCACTTTGCCTCCTTTTGTCGTCTTCATCTTCTCTTTTCAAACTTCTCTTTTTTAATTTTCTTTCAACTTTTTAGGGTTTCTTCTTCCTTCTCTTACTCTTCTGATTTTTTACGACTTCAAATCGGAGGTGAAACAATACACCTTTCGGTTTCAATAGGCCGAGCAAAGAAAAAAATACGACGATCCGCTACGAAAATTCCTCTCCGAGGAAGTGATGATATTTTCCTTCGAAGGATTTATTTTGTTTATTTTACTATGTGGTTACGTGTTTCCCCTTGGGCCAATCGATCAAGACCCACTCTCGTTGGACCTCAACTCTACGGAAATAAGATCCAGAAACACGCCGAACGAGCTGGTCACTGTTACTTTTTATTTTTTATTTGGAAGGTGGGTTTTTGTGTCCTCTAAATCAAATTCTGGAATGTCTAATCTAAAATCCAGTGCTCCAATGCTTTTTTTTTTAAATTTATTTATGAAATTATAAATACAAAAAAAAATACAAGTATAATTAAGAATTACATTAATATAATTAATTATTATATTATAATTAAGTTACAAACATTAAATAATAAGCAAACAAATTAAAATATAACTAAATAATTAAATTCATATATAAAATTTGACACTAAAAAATCTTAAGATTCTATTGAATTTTCTTTTTCTAATTGATTTTTTTTTATGGATAGGATGAAATAGTGTAAATAAAGTTAATAAAAGAGAATTATCTGAATTTTAGATTTCACAAGGGAGATTAACAAATTAACATGTACTTTTTATAGGTATATTAAAAAAATAAAAAAAATTAATAAAAAAATAGATATGTGTTAATCTCTTAATTTCGTTTATAGAGTTAAATTTCACTACCAATGTGTATCAAAAACTATTAATAAAAGAGAAATTATCTCATCCTTTGTTAGTAAAGTTTTTAAATTATACAAATGAAATTAATATAGTGACCCATATTCATTAGATATATTAAAAAATAAAAAATTAATTTTAAAAAATGAAACATATATAAATCTCTTAACCCATATATAAAGTTAAAATCTTCATTATTAGTGTATAAAAACGAAGTCTTAATAGAGCCAATATTCAATTTCTTAGTTTGAGATAGGCTGAAGGCTTTGAAATATTTTTTGCTGAAATTTGAACTCTGATTAAACAATTTTCTATAAGTTAGATGGAGCTTAACTCTTTAGGTTAAATTCAATTCAAATAGTTTGATTAACACCATCAAGCTAGAATCTCAAATACGGATCAGAGTACCAATGATTGAATGTAGAAGCATAAGCTTTGAGTGTCACAAAAGGTTTGGCTCTATAAGCAGCTGGGACAGCTGAGTCTGCATTTGTGACTGTTGAACAGCTGAATTTCATGACCATAATGTGATGCAGCAGTGTAGATAATGTCAATGCAGTGGAAAACGAGGGCTCAGAGTGATTGTGATTCCAAGATGATCCAGCAAAGGGTTTTACAAGCAGTTGGTGAAGATCAGCATATATGAAAGCAATTCGTTCGGAATATGCAAGTTCCACTGCATTAATCCGAGTAAAGCAACATAGGCCTACAAGCCAGAATTGTTCTAAAAGAGAATTAGTTACGAGCAGCAGAATTCATTGAACAACTAAATGAATATCTAACAAAAATCAATTTTATGAGAAGTTTTTGCAAGAAATTCCATTGTCATTTGATCTTAATGGCATTCAAGTAATAAACAGAGTAGCATTACGTTAATCTCTAATCTAACACCTTATTTTCATCAGTATATTCCTCATTACAACAATATAGCCAAGTTTTGCTTTTCAGCAACCCTCATTTACCAAATTTCCTGCTCCATTGATTAGACGTCCAATTGATAGTTTTGGCAACTTCAGTTGCTAGAAAGATCTAAAGAATTTCGTTTTCCCCTTTTACATTCTTTTATATGGATGAACATATCTCCTGTTGATTTCTAGTCTCCGGGGCATGTTCAAATCTATAGTATTCTCTTCGAAAATTGTGAAGCAAGTTTCCTGCCTCTTCAGGGACATAAAATATGTCAAACCAAACATGCTTCTTTTTTCCTCCTTGGATAACAATAATTGCATAATTTAGGCATGTTTAGCTGGGGCCTTTGTTAGCTTGATTACTAGTTACTACCAACAAATACTAGTCCTGGAAAAAAAATTTGCCAATAATATTGAAATCCGGGTAATTACTTGAAATGCAAATTATTATTAACCTTTTCTTTAACAGGGAAGGGAATGACAATGTAGAAAGAGCAATCTAAAAGCATGTCATAAGAAGCATTCAACCAAAGAATGAGGTATCTCAGATATTACCTCACTCACTAATGCGAAACAAAAATTTTTACATGCCATGATCTGAAATTTGACTCTTCACAGGATGTTTAAGTATTAAGGAATTATTGCTTCATAGAACGTAGCAGCCTTCTAAGTACAACCTGATTATAAAAGCTTCTGGTCAGGAAAAACAAGCCTAAAGCAGCAAGAGAACCCAATAAGGTGGCAAATGCCATTATAAGGAATGATAACATAAAGCAGTGAGTTCCATTGCAACTGTTCCCTTGTCCTGATGCCTCCATATCATAAATATAGCCAACCACTTTGACAGAGAAAATATATGATCCAACAGGACTAGCTACGGTAATGGCATTGAATATGGTGCCCATATGTCTCACACCAAATATCTCAGAAGCAATTGTCGGCATCAGGGACCACTGCGAGCCGTAACAAACACCCACCAATATTGAACCAGCATATAAAGCACCAGGCAAACCAGATGCGATCAGAGCATGACCAATACTCATGGTTGCTAGAGTTAGGACCATGAACAATGGCCTTGCCAATCCTCTAACATGCATGAAATGATCTGATACATAGCCAGCTCCAAAACGGCCTAGAAAATTCCAAATGCTCCACAAAGAGACTAAGGTATTAGTCTCAAAGCTTGAGTAACCAAGAGCTTCTCCAATTTGGCCAAGGTTATTCACTGTGGCAAGCCCTGAGCCCATCCCACATGCCATGGCAAAGAACAAAATCCAGAAGTTCACAGTGCACATGGCTTGTAAAAGATTAAGGTTTTCTTCCTCCCGGGAATCACTTGTATCATGAGCATACATCTCTTGATCAGTAGTAGTAGGGAAGTGATGAAAGCGGGCAGGATCATGTGCTGCTGGCATTTTCCCAGCATCCGACTGCTCGGGCTTATCCAATAACCTGTTCTCATTAGACATCAAACTCTGGTGAATCACAGGAAAGCCCCTTTCTCGTGCTCTTAACACAACACACACAGGAGATGCAACTAACACTAGAAGCACGACAAAAGTAAGGACCCGTACAAACAATTGCAAAGTAATGAGTTGCTCCAATATTATTAAAGCCATAAGATAAGCAGCAACAACCAGAGCAACAAATGAAATAGCATTGAGAAGCTTCTTCTCCTCCAGTTCATTTGTGCCATAAATTCTCACAAACCACATAAGCATCAAAGGATTGATAGTGGGCAACAGTGCCAGCATTAGAAGATATGAGGTGGGCTTGTTGTTGAATATAGTCTCATAAACTTGAATTAATATTGCTCCACTTAGACCTAGAAACCCCTATCCATAGAAAAAAGTAAAAATTCATTAATATCCCTCTCACAGCAGCATGCAATGATAAGTTCCTTGAGCTAAAAGTAACAGATGTTCAAGAATTGACAATGTTCTAACAATTTCCTAGAATCAAAGCTGTAATCTTACCTTCATGATACCAACAGCAGTGCCACTATAATCAGGAAAGTTCCGTACAGCAGTGACCACGTTAGCAGTATTAAAGAAACTCTGACCATGCGCAGCCAAAAGCATGAAGAAGCACATGCCCACCACCGGAGGCCGAGGAATCAATCCAACTACAGAAGCCCATATCAGGAAATAACCCGTAAAGCATTGGATGGCACCCGCCAAGTGGACCAACCATGGGCCATCAAAATAAGCGTTGTGGCTATGATGGTCGTGATAAGGGGTGGCGAAGGTGTATAAAAGGCCGGAGAGGACGCCCCAGTTGGCGCCGACGTCTTTGAAGACGGAAATGGTGTCGAGAGTTGACTGATCATAGCTTTGGGTAGATTTGAGAGTTGGGGAATAGATGGAGAAGGTGTAGAGTGAGCCGCTGGTGCACTGAATCCATATACTTGCTACTGTTGATATCCATTTGTTTTTGAGCTTGTGTTGCAGATTCAGACTCTCCATCTTTGCTGATTTTGCTTTATTTTTTCAATTTTGTTTCATTGCATCATCTTATTTTTTCTGAGTTCGGTTTCCGTATGATATTTTGGTTTTGTACTTTTCCTGAGTTTGGGAAGCTGTGAGTACAGTGTGCTCTAGTTTGCCACTTGTCATTTGAAAGTACTAAAAAACTTTTGTTGACTAGCTTAGTGCCGCCGTGTTGCAGATTATAATTTTTTAAAAAAATTTAATTAATAATATTAAATTTAATAAATTAATAAATATAATTTTATTTACGAGTGCTGATTTGCATCCCAATTTCTTTTTAATACATTTTAAAATTTAATCCTTAATTAAATTACTTAAATATCTATTAATCAATTATCTTTTTGTCTTCCACACTTCATTTCGAAACTATAAAGGTTCAAATATTTACTTTCACAAATCTTGAATATTTGAAAGATTTTAAAAAACTTTTGAACATTTATTTTTAAAATCTTTTAAAAATTTTTAAAATTTTATTTTCATAAATTTTGAATCGTATCTAAATATTTTAATATAAAATACTATCAAACTAAATACAAAGTCAAATAAAAAATAAAAAGAACATACTATTTATTTTTTATTTTATATTTTTCAACTTCAAATGAGTGAAAATTTTTTTTTTAATTTGACTTAATTGAGGCTTAAAATCTTTTAAGTTTTTGATTGAGAATAAAGAAATGAGATAGGTGTTACTTTCACAAATCTTGAATATTTGAAAGATTTTAAAAAACTTTTGAATATTTATTTTCAAAATCCTTTAAAAATTTTTAAAAATTTATTTTCATAAATTTTAAATCGTATCCAAATATTTTAATATAAAATATTATAAAAGTAAATACAAAATCAAATAAAAAAAAAAGAACATACTATTTATTTTGATTTTATATTTTTTAACTTCAAATGAGTGAATTTTTTTTTTTAATTTGACTTAATTGAGGCTTAAAATCTTTTAGGTTTTTGATTGAGAATAAAGAAATGAGATAGGTGTGAAAGAAAGCGAGATGGAATGTTTAGGTTTTTGGTAAATTTATGTTTTAGATTTGGAGTATGTTGAGTAAAGAATTAGGTGTTAATTGTGGTGGGGTGCATTGAGAAGAAATTGAGGTGCAAATAGCAGTACTTTTGATTTGTAATTTCTATATTGCAAATCCCAATAAAATTATCATTTTATTCTTAAAATTTTTCACTAATTTCTTGACGAGAGCTTTTAAAAACATCAACCAAACTTCTTTGTACACCTTATCATTTTTATTCCAAAAAATACCAATATAACAAATATCAATTTTAGCATTTTTTAAATGACAAAAATAACTTCTTTCATGTACACTAAACCTTAAAATCTTGAAAATAGATCTTTGAGAATTGTATTGCATTTTTTAAAATGGATTTCTGAAAATATAATATAATTTTTGAAAATTTATTTTTGAAAATAATAAATTTTTTAAATATATATTTAATTATAAACTCTTGACAATATTTAATTTTAATTTAAATAAAATAAATATATTTAATATTAAAATAAATAATACTAAAAAAATTTAATCATAAATTAAGTATTTAAATCATATAAATGTTTTCCTATCATTTCAAACAAATCTAATAATTTTAAAACAAAATCAAAGGAAATAGAGCACCTCAGTTTCTTTGTTGCATTAAGTATGAAAAGGTATATTTCAATCTCTTGTAACCATAAAGAACAATGACTTTGACAATGTCTCTTGCTATGATCTCCAAACGGATTTTTAATTATTTCTCTAATGTAAAGCTATTTAAATTTGAATTTGCCAGTTAATATTATCAAGGTCAATGTTCTTTACTATGCTGAGTAAGAATTATTATGTCTCTTCCATTCACACACTTGATCAAGTAATTTGGTCTATAAGCATATATAAGTCACTCTTAATCAAGTCTCTCAGAAATGGATATCTAATAAATTTTAAGGCTTCTCAAAAATGAATTTTTGAAAAGACTTAAAGCTTCTCGAAAATGATTTTTGAGGATTTTAAAAGACTTCTCAAAAATTGATATTTGAGAATCCTTTTAGTTTCTCGAAAATCCATTTTCGAGAAATCTCAAAGTTTTTCAAATATCTATTTTTGAGAAACTCGATTTCACATAAATCTACCATAATCCTCAAATAAAAAACACAATCAAACCAAAATAATCCAAAATAAGGTTGGAATCTTACCTTTAATATTGGAAAACTTAAAAACATAGGCGACTTAGGTTAATTTGATAGATTTAGGGTTTTTTTTTTAGATTGAAAAATGAAAAAAGAAGAAGAAAAAAGGCTAAAAATGAAAAATAGAAAGTCATAGGTAGGGTGTATTTAGTAAAAATAAAAAATTAAATTTTAAATTTGAGATGTATTTAAAAATGGAGTGTATAGAGTAAAAAATAGGGTGTAAATAGCATTCTCTTTGCTTGACCCTGTCCAAAAAGATTACAATGCCTTTGCAATGTTAAATGATAAAAATACCCCTTTTTTAAATTATAAACTACTATAATGTCTTTCATTTCTTAAATAACAAAAATACATTTCTTCTAAATGTTAAATAACTATAATTATGTCTTAAATGATGAAAATACCCTTCCTATAAATGGCAAATTACTATGATATCCTTTTGTCATAATTATGAAAATACCATCATCCTATAATTGGCTAAAATTACAAAAATATCACTTTTCTAAAATAATAAACTACTATAATGTCCTTCTTTTCCTAAATAACAAAAATACCCATCTTATAAATATCAAATCATTATAATACCCTTTATATCTTAAATGACGAAAATACCCCTCTTATAAATGACAAATTACTATGATACCTTTATGTCATAATTATAAAAATGTCCCTCACCCTATAATTGGCTATAATTACTATAATATCTCTCTTACCATAATTACAGAAATATCCCTACTATCATGATTAACGAAAATTGCTATAATGTCTTTTTATCATAATTATAAAAATGCCATCATATAAAAATTGGTTAAAATTACTATATTGGTCCTTACTATAATTACAAAAATGTATTTATGATTGTTTCATAAGAAGTTGACATGTATTATTTCATTTGAAAATTACTATAATATCTCTTTTAATTTACGTATTAAATTTTAACATAATAATATAAAATTAAACACATATTAAATTACTAAAATACCTTTATCATCGTTTCATAAGAATTTGATGCATGGAATTTTATTTGAAAATTGCTATAATACTCTTATTAAATTACATATATAAAATTTTAATATAATACAAAATTAACTACATATTAAATTACTAATCTTATTCAGATTATCAAAATATTCCTTTGGTTCTTTGACTAAGAGTTGACATGTCTCGTAAATGATGATAATATCCTTTTATCATAATTATAAAAATATCTCTCTTGCTGTAAATTAGTTGAAATTACAATAATTCTCCTCTTACCATAATTTGAAAAAATTACTATGACACATTTACTATCATAATTATGAAAATATCCCTTCTACCATAATTTTTAAAAATTACTATAATATCTCTCCTACCATAATTACAAAAATATCTTTCCTATCATAATTATAAAAATACTCCCACCAAAATTACATTAATACCCTTTTGATTGTTTCATAATTCATTGACACATGGCATTTTATGTCACTTTTATCAAAATTACTAAAATGCCTTTCTATATCTGTTTAATTACATCATGTAAATTACTATAATGTTTTTTTTCTCACAAATAACCAAAATTACTATACAGCCACTTGTCATAATTACGAAAATATTCCTTCTACCATAATTGGTCAAAATTATTATAATGATCTTTTTAGCATAATTATAAAAATACCCTTAATGTTATAATTCGTCAAAATTACTAGAATAACTTTTTATTATAATTACAAAAGTGCCTTTTTAATTGCTTAATAATTATTTATTAAATTTTAATATCTATACAATAATATGAAAGTAATTTCCTTATAAATGACTATAATAGTCTTCCAAATACTTAATCATTGAAAGATATGTGTCCAAATTAACTATAATGTCCCCCGTTTTATAATCAACTAAAATTACTATAATGTCCCACTTATTATAATTATTGAAATACTTTCCTATCATAATTGGTCAAAGTTACTATAATATCTTTCAACCATAATTACCAAAATAGCCTTATACTATCATTTGCCAAAATTACTATAATGCCCTTCTTACTATAGTAAAATTATTAGTTTTTTTTTCTTTAAAAAATATAGTTGAATGGGTGATGATATTAATGGCCTTTAACTTCATGGGTAAATAAGTTTAAATTTGATAATTGATCAATATTGGTAATAAGTAAATACTGTATAGATAGATTGGATTGTCATGTATATATTGTTGGGTTTTGATTTAATTTATATAATTTTTTAAAATAGTCTCCTTTATGCAAAATAGAAGTCAACATATGTCCAATTGTAATTAAGTGACACAACTAGAGTATCAATTTTTTTAAGAGATTATATTTTCCAAATATAAAAAACCAACAAAATACTAAAAAATATTTAATTTTTAATTTATTATTAAATTAAAAAATTAAAAAATTTATATTTCATTAAAATAAAAAATTTTTGCAACTAGTTATGGTCGAGTTATTTTTCTAGTTTTAATAAAAGTAATACTAAATGAACATTTATTAACTAATTTATTAATAATATACACATTTTATTCTCATAATTTGTATAATAAATTAAATAGAAATCCACTTTTTCAAATATATCTTTTTAAGAATTATTAAAAAAAATAAAAATGACAATTAAAAAATGACCAAAAAAAGTTAAAATTAAACACAAAAACTCAAAAAAAAAAAAAAAGAAGGGAGCTAAATGAAAATGTCATATGGACACATTCACTTAAGGATGATAATAGGTCAGGTAGGGATCAATCCATGTTTATCCCGACTTCACCGCAATACCAAATTATTATTTTTAATATCCAACTTTAATCCAACATATGCGTGTGTATGTGTATAACCTGTATTCGACTTGACAAAAACTCAACTCAATAATATAATATTCATGAAAATATTATTTTTCAATATAAATTACA